GGCCCGTGGGTCCTCACTGTCACACTGCCCTTATGGTTGAACCAATAATCACCTCTCTGTGGAGTGGGCTGGATTACACTGCGTTCCCTGAGGAAAGAGGAATTTGTGTTTCTGTGGAAACCCCTCCTTTGTGCTTCTGCTCTGAGGAGCATTAAGCTCTATACGCATTATTGGTTATTGGGTCCTGCTATTTCTTCAGATTCTATCGGGTCTGGTTATACGAGACCCACGCTCTCTATCGAGATATCAGTCTCTTATTGGGCCCTGCTGGGTTACCCCTTCAAATCTAGCGCCTCCTTCTGGTCGAGCTAAGAAGTGCTCCCCTCTTTGTGAGGGTTAGCTAGGAGTCGCTCCGTGGCAGTGACATCAGGTAGTTGGGCTGCTTGCTGCTTCCCTGATAAGCTGCCTCTATTCGGGTCAAGTCAGGCAGTGCTTCTCTCACCTCAGAGGGTTGTCTTTGAGCCTGCCGCTCCCGACTTGAGTGGCTGCGGACTTCTGGGCATCTGTGAGCAGATCTCTAAAATCCATACTATGATAAGTGCACACGCTAAGCTTCTGTGCACTTTCTAAAATCCACATGGTGGTAAATGTGCACGCAAAGAACTCTGCGCACTTTCTAAAATCCACATGGTGGAAAGTGTGCACGCATAGAACTCTGCGCACTATCTAAAATCCTGTATGGTAAGGGTTACACGTTATTAGCCTCGTTCCCTTTCCCTGATTTGGCTTATCCCCCGGTACTCGCCTTGGGCTCCACTCAACTAGTGTGTCTCTGTTGAAACACTTTTAAAGTGTCGCTCCCCTCACTGTTAAGGGTTATTTGTAAGCATGGTGCTTTCTTTCGAGCGTTCGAGTTCTCTCCCCTTCTGAGGAGTTGAATTCCCTGCTCCATGGGCTGTTCTCGTGGTGGTGTTTAACAGTGCTCCCCTATCAGAGGGTTGCCTATGAGCACGCTACCCCCTTTTCTGAATTCGGAGTTCTCCTCTCATGTGAAGAGTTGAGTTCTATGTTTTCCCAGAGCACCTGGGTGTGCACGCGAAGTCCCTGTGCACTTTCTAAAATCCACACTGTGGCAAGTATGCATGCTAAGCATTTGTGTTTTTTCTAAAAATCCTGTATGGTAAGGGCTACGCACGGTGGCTTCGTGCCCTTTCTTGAGTTGGTTAAGCCCCGGTTCCACCTTGGGCACCACTCCACCTATGTATCCTCAGGATACCTACTTTAACAGGGTGTTGCTACTAGGGGTCT